TATTGTATATAATTCGCGATAGTGTGTAGTTCTACAGCTGTATATTCTGTAGCTAAATTATATAAACAGTAAACAGAGCAGTGTGAACGAGGTTCAGCTGTATTGATTGAAGACGGAAAAAGAATCGGAATAAATCTGGTCAGTAGGTCAGTGACCCAATTATTTCTGGTGACGGCATTAACCGTGTCAACAGGATGGGGCAGGGTAATTGGATATCTGGGGAAATTTCATCCATAATGTCTGTGTGTGTGTGTGTGTGTGTGTGTGTGTGTGTGTGTGTGTGTGTGAGCTGTGGGGGTTACTGGACTAATGGGATTCTGACATCCTAACCTAGTGACTAAGTGTGTGAGATGTCTATTTATTTATAGCTCTTCTCGGCTAGTTGTAAGAAAATCACATTAATTTTGTTATTGCACAGGTCAATTAAATTAGAGATCGAACTTACTGAAGGCATCTACTTTTGGCCGATTTCATTTACTTAAAATCATGTGCACTTAGAGAAATGTAAAAAACAAGTTAATAAAAAGTCTAGTGACAATTTAAGCGCAATTTCCTTAATTAATTTTTTTTGACCGAACGAAAGGATATTTTTGAAAACTTTCTTCGGCAATATTGTTCTAAATTATGGCAGGAATCGATTGGTAAATGTTTCAAGTCGCTAAGTGGTCTGGTTGCCGAGATATGGGCCAAAACACTGCATTTTTTCGAGGTTTTTTGGCTTTTCCGGGAAATCCAGGAAGGAATTCCGGGAATTTTTTTGGCCCACAATCATCCTCGGAACTTGCTTAACATATTTGCTTTTGGAACTAGTCCTCGATATTGCTTCGTTGAGGAGGAGATACGACTTAAAGCTGCGGATACACATCCATCCAGAAATAACGAATTAATAATCGCAATTTCTGTAAGGAAATTGCGCTAAAAAAACAACACAAAAACAACGGTTAATCATGTTAATCATATTTAAATGAAAAGTAATTTTGATAATTCAATGATGTCACGTCCCATGACGGGCCCAGTCAGCACACCTGTATTGGCCCAATATTGGCCAAACACTGGTTGCCAATATTGGGCCACATCTTAACCCACATTGGCCAACCGTAAGTTTCCAACATCAGTTATTGGCCAAACATATTATAAGTTACCAATATTAGCCAAAAATCAGTTAGCAATATTGGCCAAACATTATTTACCAATATTGGCTACATACAGAGGCGTAGCGAGTGGGGGGGGGGGCGGGGGGTGCGGACCGCGCCCGGTGGGGGGGGGGGGGGGTGACACCAAGGCAAAAAATAGCAAAATATATAGAGAAAAACTTGAGGAGGGAGTGCAAATCGAAAATTTGAAAGTTTGTCCCCGGGAAGGGTCGCTACGCCTCTGGGGGGGGGGGGGGGGGTGACACCATTAAGTGCCGCACCGGGTGATACCCGACCTCGCTACGCCACTGGGTGACACCATTAAGTGCCGCACCGGGTGAAACCCGACCTCGCTACGCCACTGGCTACATCTTAACCCAACATTGGCTTAGAATCTAATGTGGTGACAATTGACTAAGTGGTGCGTGGATTCAAATAATGTGACATAACATATTATACTTTGTACTTTAAAAAAAAGAACAATAGAATTGCATGACTAAAAAGAATAGCGCACCAAATAAACACAAACAATGTGCATACAGTAGTGCCAAACAGTGGCGTAGCGAGGTCGGGTGTCACCCAGTGCGGCACTTAATGGTGTACCCCCCCCCCCCCCCCGCCCAGAGGCGTAGCGACTCTTCCCGGGGACAAACTTTCAATTTTCGATTTGCACCGCACCCCTCAAACTTTCGATTTGCACCCCCCCCCTCAAAATTTCGATTTGCACCCCCTACCCGCTCAAATTTTTTCCTATATATTTTACTATTTTTGCCTTGGTGTCACCCCCCCCCCTAAATGGTGTCACCCGGTGCGGTCCGCACCCCCGCCCCCCACCCCCCCCCCACCTCACTACGCCTCTGGTGCCAAATAGTGTCAAATTTGATGTCACATTGCATTGTCATCGGATCTTGACCCACGTACCAAATTTCAAAGAAACTGGTTCGTAAAAAGTGGTTGAACTCTTGCTCTCCAGTTGCGACCTAGATTCTAGATCTATAAGATAAAAGATAAACAGAGAAAGAATGTTACATAAAAGCTTGTGAAAATATCAAAAACATCAAATCTTCATTACATTTAGATCTAGATCTAGAATCGATAAAAGTATTAAGACTAACATTGGAAATAACGTACGACGAAATTGTGTGTAGGCCTTGATCTATATTAAGAGAGAACTAAATGAATGAATGATGTGGCTTATAGATCTAAATGTGTCTGTGCAAGGTATTTCTAGAACCCGTTTTTAGACCAGTTTGAACAAAATATGTTAGCTGGTCTAGTAGTGATGCCAAACCCCAGGACTAGCCTAGGACTTAGGCCTATCTATTATCTCCCCTTTTATTGGAAATCTTCTTTGCGAAGAATTACAATCTAGATAAGGCCTAGAATCTAGTTTTTACATTTCTACATAAAAATGGCAGACAAATGAATTTACAAAACAAACCAAGTAAAATAGATCTAACAGTGTTGCATGTAGACCGGCCTTATTATTAATTAACAATAATAATAATTAATTAGTAATAAATAATTAGGCCTATATGCACACATCGAATTATTATATTTAGATCTATATTTAAATTAGGATTCATTTAATTTAGACTAGATCTAGATCTAGATCTAGATCTCAGATCTCTAGTCTAGATCTAGGTCTAGAATACTAGAATAGTCTAGATCACTAGATCTAGATTAGATTAGATTTGGTAATCTATCGTTTTGGGTAGATCTACGTAAAATCGCCCGCGACTAGTAATGTACGAAAAAGTTACCTCATTGTCAAGGCTTTTATAAAAGTATATTTTGATATAGAGTCTATTTGTGTCAAATATTATAGATAAATGAATAATAGGCCCTAAACCCAGAGCCGGCGTTAGGAAAACGGGTAATCTAGGGCCAACCATCCGCGCGGGGCCTTTCCATTATATATATATCTATATATATATATATATCTATATATATATAATATATATATATATATATGTGTGTATGTATGTGTGTATAAAGGCCTAGGCCTATATTATATTATATATAATGTGATGTACACATAATAACACAAATGTTTTGGAGTTTATAAGCTAATGCCAAACTTTCCACTATAATAACAGAATTTTATCTCTCCCATGTATTAACCCAACGTTCTTAGTTTTTTTTTCCTTGCTAAGATATTAAATCAGTTTTGACAGTTATGTAATTCATACCAAATCACTTAAGAAAATTTAATAATTAGGAAAATAAAGTTTACAATACAGCAAACTCGGCCTGATGTATCAAAACAGTATAGACTTCAAAATTTGTTAGGAATTCATACAATATTTTAAAACCAAAATCATTATTGTCTAAACTATTGTAAAGGATTTCCCTATAATTAAAAAAATGGATTAAGCACTCTACAAATGTCGTGTTTTAAAGTTCACCAAAGTATCAGATATAAATTGAAAGACCGCGTTTATTGGGGGAATATCAATGACTATTAAATCACTACCCTTCATCGCCTTCAAAGATTCCCCTTCCTCCATAAAAGTTGTGCGACGAAGACCATTCGCTGACTATATCATGTCAGCACCATCGGAAGACGATTGAATAAAACAATTTGGATGAATTCGCTAAATTAATCATTCTGTCTTGGAAAGGGTGAATCCTTAAGGTGACACAACATAACAACAGTTTTAACTTTCTTCCAAAAAATAATAATAAATCACCCTGTTTAATGCCCCCCTCCTGATATAGAATCCTAAGCCCACGCAACTGAATGTTAATTTTGTTATACCAAGACAAGTAGGCCTACATATAGAGTTTCTTCCAGGCATCTCTTCGGGGGGGGGGGGGGGGGGGGGGGGTAAGGCCCCCCCCCTGTAAAAATTCTACCGCTTCCCCCCCCCCCCCCCCCCCCTAAAATTTCAAGTGCCCCCCCCCCCCCCCCGGAGAAAAAAGTCTGGAAGAAACACTGTACATATACGACATTATACGACATCTACAACAAGAAAGTCAGGACTAGAGTTCATCAGGTCACTAACTGTCTACTACAGACATCCCGTCTGCTCACTAAAAGGACGTCTTCATCGGTCCGCATACAATAGGGTATCTCTTTACGTCGTGGGCTAATTCTCGACCGCCATCTCCAGTCAGCTCAGGTCAAATGCCAGGCGACCGTACCCTACACAAAGGGGAGGTGTGACTCTGTTTTTGTATCGAATTACGGCCTTTCCCAGTTCAGGTGGGACTCACCAACATAAACCGTGGCCTCAGTTATAACAATCAACAACGTCGGCATTCGACCATTTAGTTTTTCCCAATTGAATTCAGAAACAATTTTTTTTAAGTTTACAAACTGATTCAGATAACAATGACATTGTTGAAGCGCGGTGCCCCTTCAAGCGCGGGGCCTATGGCCACCGCCCCGTTCGCCACCCCCTAACGCCGGCTCTGCCTAAACCTAAATCAATAGCTAAATATATCAATATAGGCGAGAAATTAACTTTTAACAGCAGTGTTTGTGAGCAGGATTTCCTATATAATATATTAATATATAAACAGCAGCCATTTGTAAAATAGAGTTGCCTTCCCCTGAATGTCCCGCTTTAAGTTAACATAGAAAGAACTTAAACAAGATGGCTGCTATAGTAAATGAGCATTGTTGCATCTGTTGGAAACATCGCTCGTCTTCATTTATTACTGAAAAGTTTTAGTTTGAAAACAGGTACATAAATGAAACAAGGAACCATTTCTGTATTTTTCAAAACATAAATCCTCCTCAAAATGTGAAATAATTATTAAAATTTAAGAAGTCACCTGTTTTTCACATTACTAGTCGCGGGCGATTTTACGTACCTAAAACGATAGATTACCCTAGATTTAGATCTAAGATAAATCTGAAATCTTTAAAGTTTATTCTTAAGTACTAGATCTAGGACCTAAGTATTAACTTATTAGTAAGTTAGCTTAGTCTACTGAGAGTCTAAGTTCTAAGACTATAGAGTCCTTTCATATGACGTCACGTCCGTTCGTGATACCTACGCCCGCCGCCACAGTGGTGTACACCAGACGTAAACACAATCAGCTGTTCGCCAGCGCTGGACGTGTTCACCAGCGCTGGACGTGTTCACCGTATGTAAAGAATCGCGCCGCGGAAAAGGAAAAATATGTTAAAAAACTTGAACTCTTAGGAATTGAAGATCCTTATACAGTTATTGACAGTTTCGTATAAATAAATATGTGGACAAAATTTCTAAATAAAAATACTGTTAGTAATACTGTTTGCGTTTAGAGTTAAAGTAGCCGAATCTGATCAAATGCAGTTCTCGATAGTTTGTTTCAGGTAAGGACAGTAAAATAATAAACTTCATTTTAATTATAAAAGATAACTATTAATAAAACAAATATGCTCGACCTTCATAAATACTAATAGTAAAAGACAAAGTCAAAAGTAATAATAAGAATAATAAGATCTAATAGTAGGCCTAATACCTGGCTCCGCTGGGTAGACAGAATCTAGAATCTACTTCTTTACTTAAATTTAATTACTTTAGATCTACATTCGATTCAAAATACACCCATAATAAATCAAAAGTAGTCATAATAGGCCTAATAAAGCATTTAATTGTCTCTAAGATCTAAAATCTCGCTCTATTATCTAATCATTTTTTTTAGCAAACGAAATTTTCTGAAATTGAAATAGATTGTATGACTAGACTTAGATCTAGAATCTGCTACTTAAATTAAATTGTAAAAACTTTATACAAGCATGTAGTTGATATTATTGTAGTAGAAGGCTTTAATAAATTACTAAGGCCTACCTACTTTGTTGTCTTTTTACAGCAATATGTATCTGATACTGGACTGAGTTTAATTAAATTCAAATTCATATCTAGTAATATTGGTCTACTAAGTTTTTGTAGCCTAGTAGTACAATCTAGATCATACCAGCCAACAACAAATAACCACATTATTATTATTTGGTTAATGATTAGGCTAATTTTTTTTTTAAATCCACTGTTTATAAAAGAAACAAATCAAGCTAGAAACATTATAAGTGAGATGGTTTAGAATAATAACAATGGACCCAGTCTACAATTGATACAATTGCAGGTCTACATAGGGCCTACAGTCTAGTAGTTTACAGTAGGCACCTAGTGTGTAGCTAGTATACTAGTGTGTAGCTGTCCAGAGTTAAGATTCTTAATGCCTTAATGCTTTCCCCTGATAAGCCGTGTGTGCTATAAATGACATAACATGACACCGAGGTGAGAAGTGTTGAGGGGAGAGCAGTGGGACTTTCCCCTTTGTTCTCCCTGCTGGGCCCTGAGGGTCAAAATTATATAAGAAATACTATCTCTGTGGGGCTGGGTATCACGGAGGTGAGACATTTTCAGGGGAGGGCAGACTCCTCTTAGGTTTTATTGTGGGCTAGATACAGGTGGGGGCAGCCATCATGAGGGTTGAACGTCAGTATTAATGTGGATTATAAGGGTCTTAAATTGTATAACATGCTACCCAGATTGGTTATTACCCATGGATTATATTAGCCGTTGTAGTGTGGGTTTTGTAGGAGTTAAGTGGTCTCACGTTTGCTACAGTAGATAACCTATAATATATTACTGCATTTGATCGGCTTCGTCTACTTAAACTCTAAACGCAAACGGTATTACTAACAGTATTTTTGTTTAGAAATTTCGGCCACATATTTATTTTATCCACGAAACTGTCAATAACTGTATAAGGATCTTCAATTCCTAAGAGTTCAAGTTTTTTAACATATTTTTCCTTTTCCGCGGGCGCGATTCTTTACATACGGTGAACACGTCCAGCGCTGGTGAACACGTCCAGCGCTGGCGAACAGCTGATTGTGTTTACGTCTGATGTACACCACTGTGGCGGCGGGCGTAGGTATCACGTGATTTAGGTCACGTGTTTGCAAGGACTCTATAACTAGTCTAACACTAGTCTTAGTTGTCTAGAATCTAGATAAGATCTAGATCTAGGTAAGGGGTAATAAAAAGTAATGTGCGGGAAAGTTGCCTCATTGTAATCATTGTTAATTTAATAGAAGTAGGCCTAAATTCAAATTGTGATATATTTAAATTATATTTGTGTCAAATATAAATATTAGTTATTAGATATAACTGAACTGAATAAAAACCAAAATCAATGGCTAAATAATAAATATGTCAATATGAGCCAACGCGCAGCATATCATGCACCGCTATTTAGGCCTAGTTGTTTTATTTTCTACTTTTCAGTAATTCATAATTTGTGAATTCGACAGTACCAATGCTGCCACTGAAAATATTTGCTTTTAAACACTGTCAGTAGGTCGTTAAGAACAATACTACCCCCACCCTCCTTTCCCCCAACCCCTACTCTACACCCCCCCCCCCCCCCGTGAAAGCAGCCTCCTCTTAGTTACCTCCCCTAAGTTTAAAATCGTTTCAAACTAAATTATCTGCCCCTAATAGCTGTCACTAAACCCGGCTCTACGATTGTAAACATTTAGTGTGAACCACAGCTCACCAGACCATATAGGGGTGGGGTGGTAGGGAGCGCGCTTACAGCTTGTTTTCTAGCGTCTCCAAGAAGAGAATTGTACATATAGATAATATAGGCCAGAAATTAACTTAAAACAGAAGTGTTTGCGAGCAAGATTTGCTATATTAACTATATAAACATCGGCCATCTGTAAGTAAGAGTGGTTTCCCCTGAATCTCTAACTATAATTTTACCAAAAAAAAATCTAAACAAGATGGCTGCTAAATGTAAATAAGCTTGGCTGCATCTGATGATAACATCGCTAGTCATTATTTTCTTCTGAAAAGTTCAAATACAGTTGTTTAAAAACTGCTACATTTATGAAACTGATAATATTTTTGTAACTTTCAAAACATAAATCCTCTTTAAAATTCAAAATATGAAATAATTACTAAAATGTAATGAGTCACCTTTTTTCACATTACTAGTCTCGGCCGATTTTACGTACCTAAAACGATAGATTACCAGATCTAGATTTCTAGTTCTATTGTAAAGTAATATTACAAAAAAGATTTTAGGCCTAAACATACTGTAACTGGCATACACTATTTCTGAGGACTATTTCATATTAAAATTATCTACAGCTAGATCTAGATCCAGATTCTATATTGTATATCCAAACAATGTAATGTCTTAGCGTAAACTCTCAACTTACCATTTATTTAGAGAAAAATCTATGTTTCAATTTAATATAGATCTAGATCTATTCCACTTTTCATAATTATTGGGCCTTGCATCACTAAAAATAGTCTTGTCATTATTAATGATAATCATTATCATTAATAATGACAAGACTATTTCTATCCTGTTTCTACCTATGCAACAGACTTAAGATAATTATTCAGCCTGCTATAACATATTTTGTTAAATAGCTGTTAGGCCTAATTTAATTAATTAGCTTTTTTAATAAGTGACTATAAAATTTTAATTGAGATACATTTACTTTTTTTTACTAAAATACTAACATGTTTTGCAATGTCACTTTTTAGGCATCAATGGCCAGTGACACAATAACGACAAAAAGAAAAGGTGACTTAGCAAAGCTTTTTCAAGGTAAAAAAGTTTAACAATTAAAAGAAACATTCAAATTAGATTGTCAAGGATTACACATTTCTAATTAGTTGATATTTGAAAATAGGCCTTACTACAAAGCTTGTTTTTAGTACTTACAATTTTAACCACCGTTTAAGTTTTAACACTTGAATTGCGGTAGAGAGTTAGACTGCTATCCGAATGTCTCAAGTTTGAATTTGAGTTCAAGTAATTAGGATCTCCTTAAGTCCACCCAGTTATGATGGGTACCCAACTCACGTTAGGGAAAGCAAAGGCGGCTGTGCATAGTGCTGACCACTTTATCCCTTTATATGCCGAAGTCAATAAAGATACGAAGTCTGGTGGACTCAAGGACGTTCCACTGACTTGAATCCAGATTCGAACTCGAGATTTTCAAGTTAGCATTTTAGCGTTCTACTGCTAGGCTATTTCTTGAATGCTATTGTTTGGTTGTTAAAATACAAAATTATTTTAAATGTTTTCCTACCCTTTAAAGGCACTGTTGAACTTGAGGGCAGCTGTGAGGGTGAAGCCGGCTTACTCGACCTCAGAAGGACCTGCATCAAAAACCCCAAACACGATGGGTTCATTTCTGTGAAGGACTTCAACCGGAGCCACCTCCCACTGAAGTACCAGCATGACGAAGTGTTTGAGCTCACTAAAGTTCTCGCTGAGCTGACGGTCAGGTTAGCCGTCCAATACATCAGCCCGGATCGTCCGGATTTTTACGCGGAGACGGATACGCCTTATCCGTTCGCCAGCCGTAAAGGTACGAATTTCTTGCAGACAGGAAGCGGAAGAGTGAGGAGAGTCATGATATTTTACGAGAAAGACGAAGAGGTTTGTCCATGCTCGGAGTGTAAGGATTCCGAGTCGCCTGTGGTTGAGTTTGGTGAGATTGTTGTGTACACGGCTACGCATGTGGTGTTTGATGATGTAGAAGCCAGACAGACGACTGTCAGGTTTGGGTTCGATGACGAGGATAACGTCGGAGTGGATCTGGAAGGTGTGTATGTTATGGGAAACGACAAAGTGAACGATATCTGTCACTTGCACTGTGTTTCCCATGACTTGGATTTTCTGCAGAAGCTGTATGATACATGTTTAAAATGTGATGGTTTGTCGTATAACGTACTAATCAGATATGACGATACGATGTTTCATGATAAATTAACCTTATTGGTGTCTCACCCCCACGGTTGTTTTAAGCAGATTTCTATCGGTGAATGGACAGATAAAGACAGCGAGTCCTACCCAATGACCAGGTATGCGTACACTGCACCTACCTGTCCAGGTAGCAGTGGTGCGTTCCTGTTTGTGTTAGGGAGGGAACCGTACTACTATGCCTATGACCATGTTCATAGTGGATCCAACAGCATAACAAATTTTAGTTCATTCGGCGATGAAAGCTTGTAAAGTTTTTTTAATGATAATAGCAACAGTTACGATGGATTATAAATTTATTGTAGTATTAATTTTTTTTCAATCTCTGTGTGTACTAAGATAACAGAGACATAGAAATTTTATTTTTCCAATAAATCACCTAGCTCTGGAGAATGGGTCAGCTGTATTTGCTCTGCTGTTTTGTTATATATATTTCATTGACAACTCCTTCAAACAGGGTACATTTTAAGATAAAGTGAAGGGAGATAACCACTATCTCTTCTAAATAAAAAATCTGCATAAAGTTTTAGGTCATTTCAGTCTGAATTTAGGAGACATTAAATTATGTTTGCCTGTCACCCCTCTTGGGACATAGGCCGCTGACAAGAGCTTTCCAGGCATCTCTGTCCTGGGCTAGTCTCTCCAACTGTTCCCAGGTGTATCCAATCATCTATGTGTCTTATTCCAGGTAATGTCTCCAGGTTTTTGTTATAGAGATCATTTATTCCATAGTGTGTGAATTTTGTTTGATTTGAGATGTGGTTTTTGATCATGAATAAACCACAACTTCCTGGTTATAGAGATCATTTATTCCATAGTGTGTGAATTTTGTTTGATTTGAGATGTGGTTTTTGATCATGAATAAACCACAACTTCCTGGTTATATGTTAATAGCTTATACCATCATACCTACACTTTACATATAATGTAGATTTTATACACCCCTCTTGGTTATAAATCCTTTTTTTGTTCAAATTTAAATGTGTTCATTTTTCCAAAACTTGTCATATATTAAGATTTTGTTAAACTGAATTTTATTTAACAAGTTCATATAATACAAGTAAAATTCTGACAACTTTTAAGGGTATGGGTGGTTGATGAAAACCAAAATAACCAAAAAGCTTATTTCTAAACATTATGCCATAATTTTTAGCATATAGTTTTAACTCAAAGAGTTAAGTCTAAAATTAAAAAAAATGGCAGATAAGTTCCTGAACTTGCTATGGTGATGGTTATTTTAATTTTCATCACCGGCCCATGCCCTTAGAATGTTTTTCCTGATGATGGTCAAAATCATTTTTAGATTTTTGTCAGTGGTTATATAAGGTTTGGAAAATTAAATTCCTAATGCTGTAATGATTGCTTTTTTTTTTCACAAAATGTTACATATTCTCTATTATTTTACAATTAAGACTAATAACTGCTCAATAATTCTGTAATCTTATTAGAATTAATTCCTCTACAAATTGGTGCTAATTTAAGAATTACTGTGTTGTTTATTCTTACCAGTAAAATGAAATGTATGTTTGCAGAATATTTAAAATACTGATTACCTTTGACTTTCTAATGTGGCAGCTCTATACATGGTGTTAATTTAACCTTGCTTTAAAAACCAATGAGAAATACAAGCAATGAAGAAGAGTAAAACTACAATTGTTATCTTGAATACTAGATCTAGTTGTTTCTCCAGGTTTGATTTGTTTTTCTACTTTACAAATTTGGTTCTTATCTTTCGCTTTCCTGTTATCCATGCTGTTACTTTATTTGTATGATTCATTCAGATAGTTTTATTCTGATGCAGTATATTGTATATGCAATGCTAAATGGATGTTATATAAATATATACTTATGTTTTATACCCTCTTCGTTTGGTTTCTTACACATTTGTTGCTGTTACCTATTTATACATTTTAGTTATTTTAAAACATTAATTTTTGAATGATTAAATTTTAATTAGTTTTGACATAGTAATTTGCCATAATTTATTGAAAATCAGTACATTTTACAATGCTTAAAATAAGATATGTTTAGATATGTGATCTACCATCTTGGTTGACTTATGAGTTAATAAACTCAGAGTTGAGCTTTAAAAAAATTAGCTTTATAATTACCATGTTTATTAGTTTGATTAGTCTGATTAGCTTTTTTTACAAGTGATATATAGTGTTTATTTTCAAAGATGGAGTAGGCAAATGTGTTTATTACAACAAGACAACATACATTTTGTTTTACTTTGTTATTAAATGTAAATGGCAGTTTATAAAGATAAGACATTTTTATACTTGAAAAATAATGTAGATTTTTATTAATTTTTTATTAAGATCACAAAGCAGGGGCAAAAGTATTCAGATATATTATAAAAAATCTAGCTATATTCCAATGTGTCAAAATGTAGAGTAAGAAATGTGTAGCTCACTTCTTAATGATTTATAATCTGATTTATTTGACAATTATCTGAATAGTTGCTAAAAAATATTCCGTTCTTTTAAAGGTTAGTTATTTTCCCGTATGGCAGTTAATGTGAAGAGTGTATGTGACTTGATTGTCTTCAGTGGTTGCAGTTATATGGCATCATGCTTCGTATATGTGAAAGTATAGTAATTAAACATAATTAAGTTAGTCTCATCTAATTATCTTGAAATTGGTGCCATCAAGCACACAAAACTTGTTTTTTTAGTATAATTTCAAACTATTATAAATTGTCTTTAAAAATTGAAAATTTAAAAAAAATAAAACCTGCCCTTTTTCTTAGAATTTTATTTTAGAAAAGAGTAGATATGGCTCAAGGTCTAAGCCTATTTATGGTTTGTGTTTACCATTAGCAATTACAATCATGTTAATAAAATGTACTAGGGAATGTGGCACAAATTTACACTATGGGGTAGGGGCACTTTGAACTTTTGTAAAGTATCTGTTATTTAATGCTAAACACTGAGGTGTAGTCACCTTTTCTGGTCCTGTGGAGATTTGTCTATTTTACTTCTCCATTCCAGGTCTTGATTTTTGTGATTATTTACATTTTGTTACCATTGTAAAGGCATTATTTGTTTGAAAAAGTGTATTTATATCAATGGCAGACTTTGTACTTGAGAGTACGTTGGTTTACATGCTTATGTCCCTCTAAGCTGCAGTCATTTTTTTAAACATAGGTCCTATAAATTGTGCAGTCATTTTGTTAAACATAGGTCCTATTTATTGTGCAATCACTTTGTTAAACAGGTCCTATAATTTGTGCAGTCATTTTGTTAAACATAGGTCCTATAATTTGTGCAGTCATTTTGTTAAACATAGGTCTTATCAATTGCATAGTCATTTTGTTAAACATAGGTCCTATCAATTGTGCAGTCATTTTGTTAAACATAGTTCCTATCAATTGTGCAGTCATTTTGTTAAACATAGGTCCTATAATTTGTGCAGTCATTTTGTTAAAACATAGATCCTATAATTTGTGCAGTCATTTTATTAAACAGGTCCTATAATTTGTCAGTCATTTTATTAAACAGGTCCTATAATGTGTGCAGTCGTTTTTTTAAACATAGGTCCTATCAATTGTGTAGTCATTTTGTTAAACATAGGTCCTATAATTTGTGCAGTTATTTTATTAAACAGGTCCTATAATTTGTGCAGTTATTTTATTAAACAGGTCCTATAATTTGTGCAGTTATTTTATTAAACAGGTCCTATAATTTGTGCAGTTATTTTATTAAACAGGTCCTATAATTTGTGCAGTTATTTTATTAAACAGGTCCTATCAATTGTGCAGTTGTTTCGACTGTCTACACAATGTATATTTTCCATACATGCTTTTGTTTCTTAGGGTGGATGTTTGCATGTTGAAAAATCCTTGATAAAATTTTTTTTTTCTATCTAGCATGACAAAGCATGTTAAACATCACTGTGAATTTTTTAAAATTGCTATTGTTGATATTTTTGATTAATTAATATAACCACTTTTGTTATGGATTGGTGCCTATTGTTGATTCAGAAAGATAATCACATATGTGATGTACTGCTTAAAGCAAAATTTATTATTGATTTAATCTTTATATCTTTATATCTTGTGTAGTCAATTTTTTTGTTTTTTGCACAAGTTTTAATTTTTTATTGGGAATAAAGGAGTTGATGTTGGCTTGTTAAAAAAGCCTGAATAAAAATTTTTTTTTTTTGGTCTATTCTATGATAACAAAGCAATTCAAACCTGTGATTTTTTTTATTTACTATTGTTGATAATTTTGATTTATTAATATAACTTAACCACTGTTGTTATGGATTCAGAAAGATAATCAAATATGTGATGTACTGATAAAGCAAAATTTATGATTGTTTAAATCTTTATATAACTGGTTTTATGTGTAGTAAATTCTTTTTTTTTTGCACAATATAATTTTTTAATGAGACTACAAGAGTGGATGTTTACATGTTAAAAAAAAACCCTGAATAAAAATGTTTTTCTTCTATCCTAGAATAACAAAGCATGTTAAACCTCACTGTGATTTTATATTTTACTATTGTTGATTTACTAATATTAGCCCTGTTGTTATTGGTTGTCTCTATCGTTGATTCAGAAAGATAATCGCATGTTATGTAAACAGCTTATTAAAGCAGAAATAAAGATTGTTTTAATCTTTATAGAACCAGTGACTGGTGTGGTTAACTTTTTTTGTTTCCCAACCACTGATTTTATTTTTTACCGAGAATAAAGGAGAAAGAAAATACTTTTGTATAACAATCTTGCGTTATTTCTTATGGTTTTTGTTTTTTCATAGACATGCATGAATGAAATAAATATTACAGGTTTCCATTTGGAAAATGTTGATGGTATGAAATATAAGTAGGAATGTTTAATTAAAAATATCCTGGCAGAGCTAGACACAGTGGCATGCAATTCACAGAAATATGAGGCTTGACTAATCTAGACAGACTCTACTTCACCTGCCCTATTGAAGGTACAGGTATCAACGCCTTGTTATAGGTTTCATGAGGCACTATGAGCGGAATTTGATGAACATCAGTTTGCGCTCACCTAGTGTCTAGCTGGGACATTTTTCAGTCTGTGACAGTGGTGTAGCCAGGAATTGGTCATGGGAGGGGTTCAAAAATGTTTCCATATGTATATAATCCTATATATACACACATATATATTTATATATATATATATATATATATATGTAACGATGACTACCCTGCTCGCAGCGCCAAATGTAACGATGACTACCCTGCTTGCAGGGCCAAATGTAACGAGACTATTTGCCTGTAGTGCCTTATGTTAACGAGTTCTGCTCGACAACGCCAAATGTTACCGAGTCTAACCACTCATTCTACACAACATCGACCACAGTATAGATACTCGAAGATGCAGGTTCGCTATTGATCCTTTTATTACATGAATCAAAGAAATGCTTCACAATAATATAATAAATCAAAAGGAATGCTTCACAATAATAGTCTGAATCAACTGACCCCCAACAGTCCTCA